CCCCAGCCACTGGGCAAGGAGGTGGCCCTGAGGGTCTCACAGCTTGTCCTTTCCCATGGGCTGCCTACTTAGAGATGACAGCACGTGCTTTCTGCTGAGTTCGGCTGATTGCTTTCCTTGGGAGTGAGGCACCTAAATACCTTGGCATGCGTTGGCCTTGGAAGCCAACATTGAATGACTCCTATCTAAACCCATCCCAACAGTACTGCAAAGTTCGAAGCTGTACTTCAGATACAAAAATCATAGGACACCAATGACTGAAGGCTCAGTGAAGTCCTGCTTTGATCCAGAAGCTTGTTCTGCAAGAGGTTTAAGTCTTGACTTACTCTGGGCTCTTAATAAGCTGATGTATTTATTATCTCTGCTGAGGGAGCTGCAAGTAGCAGCAGGACTTGCCACGTGCCCAGGGAAGGTGAGGTGTCCCACCTCCTGAGCAGAACTGGATTTTGCATTTGTCAATCCAAATTACAAATGCAAGAGCAAAAACCGTGATGCAAAGCTGGCACGGAGGAGGCAGCAGCGCCTTCCGCCTGGGCGTCTGCAGGACTCTGCAGATGAGAAGTGCTGCATAATTGCCTGTCATTTATCTCCACCTAAGCCCCAGCGATGGCTACTTCTTGCATGAAATCTTGCCCTTTCTGCAAAACTGCTCGCCAACAAGCCTGCAAAGTGCTTTGTGCTCCTGACTAGAAGTATTCAGATCTCATTTTCCCCTGGACGCTGTTTTATCTTTGAAGGCCTCATGTACATTTGCTTTATCTGACAGTCACTGACATCTTTACATACATTTTTTTTTCTCTGAAAGTCATAAACAGGGAACGGTTTGACAGTGAACCCTTTACCTGTCATACGGGCAGCTTGTGCTTCTCTTCACCGTTGTGTCATTTTTGTCGCCAATTAGCCAGATGAATTCAGAGTAAGTCCTCAGCCGGATGTTCTTCCACTGCTTTTGGGGAACATAGCTACATCCAGCATTAAAGTCTCCCATGAAGATGAAGTTCTGGAAGGTAGGAGGGTTTTCAAAAGTAATCATGGGGACAGCTCTTCAAAAGAAGACTGGTGAGGGCATTTAGGGTCAGCAGATGCTCCTGATAGCCCATACAGCTCAAATAGTGAGCTATTGCATGCAATGGGGCTTTTCCTCTCTGCCGGGTGCACCACCAAGGCATGCTGATAAAACAGCAGCTTTATTGGGAGAGCAAGTTTGCCAGCTAAAATGTGGAGAACTCGATGAAGATACATCAGAGAGATACTCAAAATCTGGAGCCTGTTATCAACAGCTTTAAGGTTATCAGGCTGTGAATAGCGAAGAGCGTGCCCGGTGACTCAGTACCAAAGCCGCTGTTAGTAATGCAGATGTGTCAGCTAACCTCGGTTTTCCAGCGCTGTTTTACGTCTAAATACACATCATAGAGCTCATCAATCTCCCGTACTGCTGTCTCCGGTGTGGTGTGCAGGGGGATTATAGCAAACTCTTTGACAGCTTAAAAACAAGGCAAAGAACAGGAAAAAATGTAATGGTTAAACACACACTTAATCACAAAGACACAGAGATTGACTTGAAAGCAAGAAGGTTTTTCTGAAGAAACAGCTTCTGTTCTGGCTGGGGATCAGAGGCGTTTGCTATGTAATTGCACAGTGCTCCCCATCAGCGGCCCGGCTGACGCTGGGCTGCGACGCGGTGAGGTGCTGTGTCAGGGCAAGGCAAGCCCTGCTCCAACACCCATGGCAATCGCTGCTCACGGGGCTGTGCCAGCGGCATGGAGTGCATCCACTGAACCACTGCCCATGGCGGTGGCAGAGGCTTTCTGGGGGCTGCCCGCAGGGGGGGGTGCGGG